TTCTCACAACTGCAACTAAAATTAGTTATGGAGGATGGGTGAAAACGAACAGAGGAACTCAAGGAAAGAGAGTGAGGAAAAAAAAACATCAGAGAGGAACAGAAGTAGATTGAAAGAATGAAAATGCAAGAAATGCTGCCACAACTACTCTTACGGAAGTAGGGTGGACTGTTACGATGCCAGCTACCTTTCTGAGGACTTGGCTTTTAACCCTGTGGGAAGTATATAAGCCCTGCAGTGCTAGGTAACATTGTAAAAACTTGCATGAATCGATAATCAACATGAGATGTTTGCTTTTGAAAACCTGAGCTTCAGAATGGTGACCCAAATCTAGCAGAAATGAACAGAACTGATGTAAGTAGACCCCACTGCACTCAAACCTTCACTTTAATCTAGGCATTTGGACTTTGTTGTGAAGTTGCATAAAAGAAGTATCTTTCCATGCTGGGGTATACATACAAATACACACACACACACACACACACACACTATTAAAATGCAGATTCTTGCTCCACAGTGCATGTGAGTATTTCTAAGTTACACATGCCATACATGAATTTTTCTTTCAGTTAGCTCTGACATTTTCCTGCCATGTATTGGCCTGGAAGATCACTTTCAGTACATTCAATCAGATCAAAAGAATCTACATATTTCAAACTCAGATTTTTATGCTGCCCTTTAAGAGGTTTATACAACAAAGCATGAAGGGTTTCATTTATTTTAAAAAAGGTTAGGAATTTTTTTATTATTTCTTCATTCTCACATTTATTCCCTGGGCACTACAGAGTACAAAAACAATACTGTATGTGTATAGGATCATAGGTACTTACACTAAATAAAAGAGCGAGTGCCTCAAGTACAAATTGAGAAATCAGGATTTTAAATTTCCTGCCTTCTTACTAGCATTATACAGCACATGTATTTGCAGTATGTACATACATATAAATACATATTCATAAACATTTATGACTTGCTTAGCTGGATCATACCCACCTAACCTTTTCAATGTGGTATTTTCAAAGTGTCATATTAAAGCCTGTTGGCCAGCTCCATGTTTCCTGCTCACAGAACTCAAGCCAACAATCTGTGCCAGACTGCAGTTAGCTAATTCAAAAAGAACTTGCAAAAACCATTACACAAACCAAGAGATGAAAATCTGAGCCTTTTTATTGTCCTGATGCAAACAAATACATTATCAAAATTAAACCACATCAGATGGATTTTATATTGTTTTCAAAGACTTGTATTACAAAGTATTTGTAGTAGAAGAAAGATGAAGGACATAGGTAATCAGGTATTTTAGAACAATTGTTTTCTGGCTGCAAAATCATTACGACCTTCAGAACTCCCTCACCAAAGCAGCATAATGACTTGCTCGCTGACTTTACTGACCATTAAGGAACAGCCAGGAGACTGTTTACTGTTTCTACAGGCACTGACCCAATCTACAAGTCACACCCAGTAACAAGAAGTTGATCAGCCAAACTACTGTGCATACCTACTTCTTATCATCCAAGTCCAGGCATGATGCATCTCAGAAAACTATGATAGGCACATCAGCCACCACCACTGCATTACAGGGAAGGTGGTAGTGCTATCTTATTTTAAGACCACTGCACTCCATTAAAATACTGTTTTTCACTTGCTTATAACATTGCCAAGACACAATGATTTCAGCTCAGACTTTCCATGCTGGGTCCTTGCTTCAGGCTTGTTTTGGAAGATCTAAGCCAAAACAGTTCCATCAGTTCTGAGAACAAGGCTAGGAAAAAAGGTTTTATTTTGCCCCTATTAAAAAAACTCTTTGAAAAGCTTGGGCACTCCTAGGCTTTGGAATGGGAGCATGAAAAGTGTCAGGGTTTGGTCTTTGTGCCAGAACTGTGCTTTCTGTCAAGTCATTAGTTTTTGAAAAACTAAAATTTGTAAGAACTGGGACAAGTAGGGCATACAGACTGGGTCATGGACAGGATTAGAGGGAAAAAAATTGGACTGTCCAGAGGTGAGGAGCCAGGAATAAGATGGCGAATGGGCGGGTGGGGTGGTTGCTGCCTATGGAGCAGGATGGATAAGACAAAGATGCATCAGTGAGGTGGCAAGAGATGCAAGGACAGGTTGGAGGAGACAAGACAAGAGAGGTCAAGCTCCAGTGAGCTTCTTTCTCTCATGTCTGTCTGTACTCTCTCCCTCCAGAGCCTGAAGTGTAAGCCCTGACTTGCAGGTTCCCACCATTCCTTGCTGTCAGGCAAAATGTGCTCTGATGCACCTCCACCGCTGGCCTACATTGAAGATGGCCACTGAAATGAGTGTTGCTTGTCAGCTATCTCAGTAGATGCTAGCCAGGCACACCTTTACAGATAACTAGCCTAAGCGTTTATACAATGCCACACAGTCCTCCTTCATTTCCTTCTGTTGGCTTGGAAAAGAAGAAACAAACAAAATAAACCATGAAAGGACTTTTTAAAGTATTAAGGTTAAAGAGTTGGTCATGACATTGGAAGGAAAAGCCAGAACTGGGTTCACTGTGCAACTTCACTCAAGCCTGCTTGTGAATGTTACAAGCAGACAACCTATAACTACACCAGTTTTTCACCCTTGCCTTATGGCAAGCAGACACACGCTTAAACTTTGGTATCATTTGTCTTTTGTATGCTACCTTCTCAGCCATAAACATAACTTGATAATACTTTTCCATATTAACATGCTTTTGAATTTCACCCATTGTCTTCCAGGTACCATTTATCTAAGGAAAACTTTATAAACTGATGGTGTACATACATACACAACCAACATGAAAACCATAAAACCATTATATAAAGTTCAGCACATTATAGCTTGTGCATGATTTATTATGTACTAGTGGCATCTACTACACATACAAAACTGCAACTTAATCCCTATTCTAAGCCTAATTTAATCTTGGAATCCAGGAAAAAAGTGTGAGAGAATAGGTTTAAACCAAGGCTAAGGTAGAACTTCACAGTGAGAGAATAGGTTTAAATCAAGGTTAAGGTAGAACTTCACACCCAACCCCACCTCCAAATACATAGTTATTTGGCTAAGGGGTATCTGAATTACAATATGCTGAACACATGCTGAGATCTCTAAAACCCAGTAAATGTCAATTTTTGTGATATTTGAGGATGCCTCCTCAACAGAAACATTTTGCAACTTGTTTCCGCAGGAAAGAAGGCTTTCCTATCACAAGACCTGAAGGACTCACTGAAGGTTTCTGAGAATTGCCAGAGGCCAACAAACCCTCCTGCTGCAGAGCACAGGGTTTCTTCCCTCCTGCAGACCTTTGGGCTCAGAAGCAGCAAGGATATTCCCTTGACTTCTCTATTCTCCTCTGTGCTGCTCTCCACATCTGTTACTGCCTACAGACAGATTGGTAACTACAGACTTGAAAGCTGCATTTCATGAAAAGCTTTCCATCCCGGGCAAGTGTCTTCACAAGTGTTTTAGATATACTTATTTCTAGGAAAACATAAAAATAGTTCTTCATAAATTCATATTGGAAGAGATTTTCCATGTAAATGTCAGATGCTCAAAAACCTGCCACCTCCAAGGCTATAAACCATTTTTAACAGTCATGCTCAGCTGTTGTCACTATTCATACAGTGTATTACGCTGCACATGCCACTGAACCTTTTTAGAAGTAGTAAAGAAATACGTAAACAGGAGATGGCAAAAGTATGTTATAAGCTTGCCTTTTTAACAAATACCTTCTCATGATTTAAAAGAAAAGAGAAAAATACTTCTCTGCAAATATTTTGGGATGATACTATGACAGACTTTTCTATCATTCACTTGCTGGGCAGTAGTAAATTATTTTTTTTTCTGTATCAGTTGAAAGAGAATTAGAAATTCTATTATGTTTTATGTATAAAAATACGTACTTTAAAATCGCATCAATTTTTAAGGTATCAGATATGTGAGAGAAAACATTAGCCAACAATTAGGACTGAATTTTTCAGCTTAAACTTCCCTTTTAACACAGTTAGGAAACTTTTTTTTTTTGGTGAACTTTTTCTTTTACAGTATATTTACTTTGAAGAGAAACACGGTTTTTTGCCCAATAAAAGTTAAACTCAATAAGTACTGCCATTTCAAAAATTACTTTATAGTGGGGAAAATGCTGAAGATGTTTGTCTATAATTTAGAAATACCTGAGTTACAAGACAAGCTTTCATTCATATGTTCATAGTACTATCACACTCTGAAAAAAAGCTGGATTTATCTCAGTGTCATCAAGTAGTGATCCGTCTGGTCTTCCTTAGATGACTCAGGATGACTCCCATTACAGGAATCAGGATAACTGCAGAAGTAGTGCCTACACAAATTTGTGTGAAAGTCAGTCTTTGTAAAAAGAGTGGAGATGAGGAATAACAGCAGCTTGAGGACTTACTTGGGAGATGATGTGAAATTTATGTTATTCTTATTAACTTGCTGAGATAACAAAGCGACTACTCCAACCACACATTGCAAGTACTTGAAGTCCATTGCTCTAAATTACACTGACTTCTGGTCTCATATTTTAACCCAGTGGCTGAGTTTAGGAAAGTAGGATCAGCTCCCCATTTTGACCAGAACTTACCAGTACTGACTTTTTAGATTAATTAAAACCTGTAATTGAGTACGTAGATGTGAATCACATAGGAAACAAATAAAAATTAATGAACATAGATCCTGCTGAGAAACCAAGACACAACCATCTCTCATTAGAGCTCCTCAGGTGAAATCTCCACAAATACTGTGACTACAGTTAAGGACACCAGGGCAACACTGCCCCGTTCCTGTTATGAAGCCCCTTCATCAGGCCTCCCATGGGTGCCAGGCTGCGAAGAAATACTCTACTCCCCACTGTACTGCCTAGGGAACTCTATTTAACTTGCAGGTATAGTTCACTTAGGACTAACCCCCAGATAACAAAGGATCCTGGGAGGAGGAGGTAAGGAAAACTTCCATCCAGAATTTGTCAGATTTGTAGAGTTGGCTCTTACCTTGCAAGGCATAGGCTTTTTGAAAGAGATCTCAGCTTGAGTCCAAACTCCCCTTGGAGAGTCCAAGACAGACCAGATTTTCTCTTGAACGACATGATTCTCCTCAAAGATATAAACAGCAAGAGTGCCACTCATTTTGAAAAACCCATATAAGGCATAATAAAAACGCAGACAAAACTGCAAGTTTCCTGGCAGGGTCGGGCCATATAGACGTCCAATGTACCCAGGCTGTGACGTAAACTTTGTGTTCGCCAACAAGTAATAACCTGCAAGACAGCACAATTATTAAATATTTCTAATAAGCAATTAGCACAGCTGATCTGCTATTAAAGCAGCTTCCATTATTGCATCAGACTTTGGTTATAAAAACAGTTTCTACTGACAGGAAACAGATTATCACACTCTGTTTGAAAGGAAATAAGAATTTTTCTGAAACCATCTCAGATACTTCAAGGTAAACTGGCACATGGCTAACTTAGTAGAAATAAGCACTTTTCAAATTTACACTGAAAAATTCCCTGGCCTGCTGGCCTCACTGGAAATCTGGCTGTTTCAAGGGTACTCTGAGACCAAAGAATGAACGATGGAGCACAAGGCCTATTATTCCCTGCATCAAGTTTAGAGGTGAGACTTTAGCATATATGATCAAGAACCATGAATACTCTACACAAAGTGATGTGTGAGTTTCAGAACTTATTAGCAGGCCTTTCACTATGTGGCTTCACTACACAACATTTCACAGTTTTCCCTTAAAAAAACAACTATCCTAAGCCTGGAAGAGCTAAGAGCCAACCATTCCTCTATATTAAAAGCAACGTATTAAGCTACTATTACATTTGCTCACATATTTTTGTGGAATCATCCCTTCAGTGACTACAAATCATTATAGTGAAGATACTCTGATTTATGGCCCTGTGTGACTATCCAACAGGTGACCTCCCCCCTTTATATGTGGGGAGGGACAGATGGAGTCCCAGCTAGGACAGAGTGGTTTGCAATGATTTTTAATTGCACAGAGTTGCAGTGAGGCAATCTAACCAGTGTACCGATGACATTATTTAATAAAGTGAACAATGATACAACAGGTTAACCTTTATATCCAGTTTGACTCTTCTAGCGAAAAGGAGTTTTTATTTACCAAACCCAGTAGTGTGATCTCCTGCTCTATACACATTACGCTTCACTTTCACTCTGCTCCATCCTGGGCTGTCTTTGTGATCCTGGTAAAAATTACACAGATCTTCCTCAAAACTGCAGCCTGCCTGAGCAGGATTGAAAGGAGTTCCTAAAAGACAGAAGCATATGTTCTGTTAAGAAGAGCACAGTATAATAAGCATAGGTATTTGAAGCACAAGGATGCCAAAGTATACTCTGTTTCATCTTTCTTTGCATTACAGAAAATGAGCATGTGCAAAGATGCTACACATATATAGTGCAAAGTCACGATGACATCAAAATGTCAATTTTCTATCGCGTGGGTGTTATTTTCTATTTTTTTGCTGGAGCCAGGAAGAAACTTCCTTCACAGCCCCTATAAAATATAAATAAGTGATAGCTATGAAGAGAAGATTCTTCCTTCAGGATACAATGCACAAAGACATTCAGACCATTTGTTTTCATCCTGCTCCTTCATTCAAAACATGTTTGGACAAACTGAGTGTCAGCATACCCGTGTGTGTGTATGGGTGTCATATTCTCATTTCAGTTTCCAAAGAATAACTTTCTAACATCAACGTTTAATATTCTTTTAAACAGCACTTTTTAAAAAACCCTTTAGTAGTCATGTATAATGTGTGTGCATATGCATGCCGTAAATATGTAAGTCAAATAGCTTTTGGTTCATGTACCACCTCGTGGCTACTGACCTCTGGAGCTATGCCTCACACATTTTAGCACTGCAGCAAAGAAAGCTGCACCATTTATACTGAAGTTGATGAAAAGATAAGCTAAGCCCCCTCAGCCCCACTGATGGCTCCCTCTTGACCTGCAATGTGGAATTCATTGGTCAGGATTTGCTTTAGTCTGAACACAGCCCTGGTGAATGGATGCTTTTAAGTAAAGCATTTCTACTTCTTTAAAAGCCTCATCAGTGACTTGTACCAGATGCTGGGGGAAGGAGGGGCACAACCTAAAGCCATCATGCAATTTTTGACTGTGTCAGGAGTCAGGACTCTGTGAGCATCGCCCTACAGAAGCACACACAACCCTTCTGCACGGAGGCTAAGAGAGACTTCCCGGCAAGGGTAGGAACACAGGTGAGAAACTTCAGGAGAGGCAAAATTTTGGCTTTGGAGAGATGCCTGTGGTCTTTTCAGCCTCAAATAAGCCAGATCTCAGCACTACCTGTGTGTCTTTCTCTGCCTACAGAGAAAAAGGAGGTAGTCCTGGCCTCCCCTCACTGCTTTCCTAGCTAAAGAAAACACAGTTGGAGCACTACCAGATCCATGCAGCATTAAACTCATCTTTTGATTCATCCTTTGGTGAGCAAGTTGAATACTCTGGTACCTCTGCCCTCCATTTGGCTAACACTGAGTCCTTTGTTGACCAAAACTTCCAGAAAAATAAGGAAAAAACTTTATGCTGTTATATGCACTGCTACAGCTGAATACAATGAGAATTAAGATCTTTTGCCTTATAATACCTCTGCTCAAAACAACTGAAGATGGAAGTAGAAGGTAAGTGAAGGATTAACCAGCTTTGTTGAATTTCTACAAAATATAAAGCAAATGATTAGCACTCATTTCTCAGGGAAAAAAAAACCAAACCAAACCAAACCAAAACTTCAAAATCAGAGTTAGTAGGCAAAGCTTTAGCTGAACCTATCAAATTTACCAGTCAGAGTAGATCTGAACTTGGGCTGTGACAGCATGACTAAATAGGGATTGGGGCAGAAAATACGACAAAATCTATCCCGTACATCAACACATATAAGCCATCTGAAAATTAAAATGGAAAACACAGATGACCACACAGCTCCAGTCCCTGGCATACTGCAAACATAACTTGGGATTTGTGTTGCAAAACAAAGCAAAAACAAAAACATTGAGGAATTAATGAAACAACTAGATTTACTCAGCCAAGAGTTGTTGATTAATAACATATCTGGAATCTACCTCCTATTGATACTTCAGCAGTGCAGGCAAAGCTAGTAGAGACTCCAAGCAGATAAAAAAAGGAAAAAAATCTCTTTTTCCTTGATCACTTCAAAACATTAGCCAAAAATTCAAACCTGTGACCGAAAGAATGGATGGGATAGGTGGGAAACCACTAATCTACTTTTGACTATTGCTTAACACTATGGTAACACGCAAGCAACCAGTACACAGCTGCTCAAGAGGTTGCACTCACAAATGACAAAGTCCTTCATCCCAAGTGCCTCTACAGCAGATGTCAAATGGATTCAGCTGGCTTCTGCTGCTCTGAAAACCTGATAAAAACCTGACAAGCACACCACTGTCCGAGATCAATAATACCTCCTAGAAGAGTGAAGATAGAAAGGCAAGGCTCCCATTTTGGCTCTGAAGAACACCTCAGGGCATGTGGCATAGAGGAAGATATTCCCTACATTGGCAATAATGAAAAGCCCAGGACATTTTCTTCCTCATACCATCACACCTAGGGAAGTCCCCCTCTCTTTCTGTGACAGGCCTGCAAGTGGTAATCTGTTCAAAGGTCGGGGTGATGCAAATACAGCATTCAGTCCAGCACTTCAGTTCCAGATTCCTGGGGCAAGGTCTTTGGAGAGGAAGCATTAAGGAGTGGTTTCTAGATCAAATGAATAGCATTGTGTTTATCTGCTGTTCTGTCACCATGAGGAAAAGGAGTCCAATGGCGCGGATCAGTTGAGAAGGTAGCATCTGCACATCACTACCAAATACTGCACATACTGACAGATGGTTCAGAGAGGCAAAGCAAAGGGGGGAAACAAGGAAGGTAAACAGCAATAAGAACTCATACCTGTCTGATTGCTGCAGTAAACCGGAGAGAAAGAGATGTCATCAAGGGCAACGTAACCTCCCTTGGCACTATTGAAAGCAACTTCAAATATTACCTGGAAATTATAATTGTTTGTTATTTATCTACCATATACACAATAATAATTTTGGTACACATCTTATTACAGAATTCTGATCGGATGTCCCAGATAGACTCCAGGGCTTCTCAGACAGCACTGCAGGTGTTGGGATAAATTAAATTATATCACTTATTAGGGATATAAATCAGAGCCTGACCCTGGCACCAGATCTTTGCCCACTCAAGGTCAAGGAAAAATCAAGAGGAACACAGCTCTTCTGCTGCTTTATGAAGCATCAATTTTAAAGATGCAGTAAGGCTACTGTCATGATACCATACAAAGCCAGTGTTCAGGGTCATCAGTCTGTATTGACTAGAACTCCAAAGCTGTCTAATTATTACAGTATCTACAATCTATCTGGATCAAGAGCTAAAAACAAACTGTGTGGATTACTCTGCTGTTACAATATTAAGTTTTACTGTTTTCTCTGAACATCCTCAGACACTGAAACCCATGCCTTGGCATCAGCTGCAGGGAAGATTTCCTTTAAAAAATTTAGTTAAGATAAGAACCAGAAAAGCTATTGCTGCGTTTTGTTTACCACAAAATCAAACAGTGTTTGTACTTAGCCATTCCCAAGGGACATCATTTCCTCAAGTAAGTGGAGGACAGTCCATAACTGTTGAGGAAGTGTCTTAAAATTTCTCTTAAGTATCAAAGCTCTGAATTACAGGAAAACTTTGAGAAAAGGCCTGAATAACAAGGCAACCCTAGGGACAAAACACGGATATAAGGACAAATGCTTCCAGAGTGAGATCCTGTACAGTGATAGCAATGCCTATGATGTCTCGCCTAGGGACAGGAGCCAAACTAGGAGAGTTGTGAAAGAATCCTGAGTGATCTCCTTTAGCCAGATGAAACAAAGAGGAAGTCCCTCTTGAAGCAACTGAAGAAATTATTTGCAAAGTTTAACCTTATTTCTATAAAGTTATCTCTAAAATAATGACTGTGTTGGATTACATAAAAATTCCTTGAGCACAATAAAAGCCCATCTTAGCCCCATGTCTTGTTTCCAACAGAGGTCATCTACAGAAGGAACTGAGAACAATGACAAGTTTTCAGTTCTTCTTCCCTCACACTGCATTCCTGGTGGATTCTTTCTTTCCCATTAATTTGTCTAATCAGTTTTGGAACTGATCATAATAATCGTGTCCATAGTTAGCTATGGAAGTGAGTTCTACAGTTATGTGATGTAGGAAAAAATCCTCCCTCTGGTTTATTTTAAAACTGTTACCTGTTAATTAAGGATTTGGAACAGCAATATAAATTATGAGAAAAAGGGAACAGTTCATCTTTTCTGTGTCATTCACAATTTTTATGAACATCTACCATATTCTACTTCAGTCATTTTTTTTAGAGGCTGAATACGGTTATTTCATTAATGTAACTTCTCCATACTTTTGACTGTCTCCATCTCCCTCTTGTAGTTCTAGGATACTCTTTTTTAACTGAGAGGGTTGGAGTTGTATACTCTGGTGAACACAGTGGTACCCCGTGTATTCATCCAGTGGTACGACATCCTCTCTTCTGCTGTTTATTCCAGTATAGACAGTTTCCAATATTCCAGATGGTTTTATGAATGCCAGTATGAACTGAGAAGATATTTTTGCAAAACTAACCACAGTAATGCCAAGCTCTAAGTGATCATTAATTAATTTCCACCTTTAGCATTAGGACTGTTTTTTCCCTTGCATGTTACATTACATTTATTGAAAACTAATTCACTTACCATTCGGTATTATGAGACCTTATCAGATCTAATCTCCTTTCCCATACCATTTGAAGTCTGACAATTCAAATGGATGACTTGTTCACCGACTTTACATATTATAAAAGGACTATGTAACATCTGATGAAAATTAGCTTTACCCCTAATAATTGCTGAAAATCTGCAGGCTTATGGTGAATTAACAAATAACTTACATGGAGTTAAAGCAAGTAGAATGAAAGCTGATTTATTTGTAATCCTAGTATTAGAAATATATATATATAGGGAGAGAGCGTATACATACATATTAATTATATATATTTGTATAAAATCTATATATATTTGTATAC